CCCCCCCCCAGCCCCCAGCCCCCCCGCACCCATCGTGACGGCCACCACCACCTTCACATCCACCACGATGGCCTCCAGCACCTCTTTGCCCACAAACACCACCACCACCTCTCTTACCACGACCAACACCAGCCCCCCTGCACCCTCCACGGCCACCAGCACCCCGGCATCCACCACCACCAGTGGCACCTCTGCAACCTCCACAGCCACCAGCACTTTGGAACCCACCCCAGGCACCAGCACCTCTGCACCCACCACTGCCACCACCACTTCTGCTCCTGCCACAGCCTTCAGCGCCACCTCCGTGCCCCCCGCCGCGGCCAACGCCACCTCCGCGCCCACAACCGCCATCACCGCCTCTGCAAACTCCACGGCCACCACCACCTCTGCACGCACCATGGCCACCAGCAGGCCTACTCCCAACTCCACCAGCAGCACCTCTGCAATCTCCACTGCCACCAGCACCTCTACACCCACCACAACAGCCACCAGCACCTCTGCGTCTACCACGACGGCATCGAATTCCTCTGCACTCACCACGACAGCCTCCAGGACTTCTGCACCCACCACCAACTCATCTTCCATCACCTTCTCCACCACCACTGCGACCACCTCCACCGATATGACCGCTTCGACCGTCCACAGCTCTTCACCCATCACATCCACCACGATTTCACATCCCAACAACACGACTTCACCTCCCACCACCACGACCAGTTCTACTGCCAACAACTCTCCATCCATCAAGCCCGCCACGAGTTCACCTCCCACCACTACTTTCCATCCCGCGGCCACTCCAGGTACGTGCCAGCTCACCTTTTCCTCCAGGCACGATGGCCAGATCCCTTCCCCTTTATTTTACGTCACTCCCTTGGCTTCTTTTTCCAGGGATCTGCCATAACGGAGGTACCTGGGTGGGCGGCCACTGCAAGTGCCCCGCGGGTTTCACGGGTGACACGTGTGATGAGATCAGTAACACCATCGAAACAAACGCTGGTAGGAAAGTCTTCTCGTTGGGGTTCATCCAGTGCAGGACAAAAATCTGCTGGGCAAGGAGGAACAGTGGGGTTCTCCGGGGGGGGGGGGGGGGGACGCGAGAAGGGACAATATAAGGGGGGGCTTCGGGGGGGGGGGGGGGGGGAATGAACCAAGAGTGACCATCACACAAGGAACCTTCACCCTAACCAGGGCACAGTCCCACAGCACCCAAAACCATGAGCAGAGATGGTGGTTACAACGTGTACTAACCACGCCGGGTGAGGCAGCACCAGGATCCACCTGGGGGAAGCAGCTAGGAAGAGCAAGGGATGGGATCAGAGATGGGTGCAGAGGTTGATCACCCTCAACAGAGCTCAAAGCAGCTTTGGGTGTGCTGGGCTGAGCTTAAATGCAGCTCCTGGGCCAATGAGCAGAGGGTGGAGGTGCCAGGTGAGGCCACTCAGGGCAATTAAGGCTCGTTAGTGCCATAAGGAGCTCAAGTGCGTGATGCCCAGCAGCAAGGTTGAGGAGTTGGTGGTGGGGTCAGTGCCTGTGTCCAGAGGAGCAGCTGGGCTGCTGATGTCTAGATAAGCTCCTGGCTGCTTGTAACGGCTGGAGGAAGTTTTTCTTGGCTCCTTTGCAACAAACCCTAAAGCCAGGGGTGTTAACTGGAGATATTGGGGCTCCTCCTGCCGGGAAGGGGCTGTCTCCCCTTGTCTTCATGTCCTGGTCTTGACTTGCGTCTCCTCCTTCCCCAAAAGTGACAAATGGGACAGTGCAGGTGAAGCTGCGGGTCACCAACTGGGAGTTCACCAGTGACCTCGGAAACACCAGCACTTCTGCCTACTGGGAGTTTGTCAAGAACTTCACGACGCAGGTAAAGGGACGCGGGGAAGGGGCTGACCCTCCCTGGGGTCGTGGCGTGCCTGGTTGCGCACCCAAGTGTATCCCATGGGTGCTGCAAGCGCTGGGGGTTTCTCTGTGTGGTCTTCTCTGGGCACGGTGGGATGTATTCGAGGGGGACGCCCAAGATGGGGGAGATCCAGGAGGAGGGGAAGGGAATGGGGCCCCAGCATCCCCCCTGGAGACCTCTTTTCTTCCAGATGAACGTGGTCTACAGCAACATTCAAGGCTACAAGGGCATCCAGGTCCTGCAACTGATGTGAGTGCCGGGCTGCTGGTCAACGGGGAGGAGATGCTGGGGTGCACCAACCGGCCTCGCTCCCCGGGAGCTGGGGTGATCCCTTGGGAAAAGGGCATTAGCAATGGGACGGTGGCTTTTCCCACCAGGCCCGGCAGCGTGGTGGTGGATCACATCGTCATCATCTCCCTGCTGGTGACCGCCCAAACCCAGGAGAAGCTCGACGACATCGTGGTGGACCTGCGGAAACAGATTGACGTGGCAGTGGCACAGAACTGCAGAAATGATACTTGTGAGGCTCCCAGCAAGGGGATGGGCAGGAGTTGGGCCACCCATGGGGTGGGGGACAGCGTCCCACCCACCCGAAACCTCGCAGCCACCCCGGGAGGGGGCTGTGGGTCATGTCCCCCCCATGTTACCTCTTTTGTAGACGAGCTGTGCTTCGACTCCTCTCGCGTGATGGTCGGCAACGCTTCGTTCAACTTCAGCGAAGAGGGTGAGTGGATGGGGCTGTCCCCCGGGGGGATGCGGCCAGGTTGGGGGTGACCAGCATCCCTCAACTGACCTCTCTTCCCTCTCCAGGCTTCTGCCAGCAGGAAGTGCCTGAGGGCTACCAGGACTATTATTTTCCCAACCTGACAAGCTCTGGTTTCTACTGCGTATCCAACTGCACCCCGGGCACCGCCGGCACCATCGACTGCAACAAGGGGCGGTGCCAGCTCACCCCGAGTGGTCCGCAGTGCTTGTAAGGGCAGCAGTAAAACCATCCCCCGCCTCCAAAACCATCCCCTGTGCATCCAACCCTTCTGGCGCGCCTCCGTGCCCGTCTCCGAGCTCCTCTCCGCAGGGAAAGGGGTCAAAAACCCTGCAGGTTTGGAGCAGGGTCTTGCTCCGAGCAGCGTCTTGCTCCGAGCAGGGCTTGAGGTTGCAAAAAGGGGTTGGGGGGTTGCTTCTGGGGGTCCCAGCTTTACGTTCAAACCCCCTGTTGCTTCCACCCAGCTGCCACGAGACCGATATCTACTGGTACCAAGGGGATCGCTGCAAGGCCCGGGTCAGCAAGCTGGCGGTGGGGTTGGGCTTGGCCGTGGCCATTCTGGCCGCGACGGTTGCCGTCCTCACCGTCTTCCTCTTCCGAGCTCAGAGGACCGGATCGTTTTACAGGTGATGGGGGAGAGGGGGTGGTGGGTTTGGGGGGGGGGATCTGGCCCCGTTGCCCTGGGGTGGGAGATCTCGTTGAGCCGTTGATTTCTACTTTTTTTTAAACATGGGATGCGAGGCGTTCCTCATCCTGGCTAAAGCCCAGCAGCGTGGTCCCAGGGGCTGGGGGGGGACCTTGGTCCTTTGCAGGGGAGGAGGTGGAGGAGCCGGTGGGTGCAGGCAAGGGAGGGACCCGCTGGTGGTGACCCCACGCGCATCCCCCACCCCCTGTCTCCAGCACCCAGAAGGCGATGAAGGAGAGGTGGTACGAGGACGCGGTCGAGACGTGGAGCCTCCCAGGAAGCTTCACCTTACGGAACGAAGGTGGGTGTGGGGTGGGGGGGGGGTCTCTGGTGACCCCAGGGGGTTGGGGGAGCCGGCTTGTGCCCCCCATCCCTACCCCGAGCATCTCTGCTGAAACCCCTCATCCCGCAGACGCCCAGCGTGAAGACAACCTTGACTCTGCGGACACATCGGCACCGGTGCGTTCCCCCCACCCACGGCGGTGGGACACAGGGCAGTGAGGACACCCCAAGTCCTGCTGACACCCTCTCCATCCGTCCCCCACCCCGACCCCCTCCACATCCCGGCAGGTCAAGCGCCCGAGGCTGGAGAAGTTCTTCACGCGGCTCTGAGCCGTGGCAGGGTGGGGGGCCCCATTCCCACCCCGCCACCCCCAACCCCCATCCATGGGCATCGCTGCTGGGATGGGATCCGCTCCAGCGCTGTGGAAGAGCCTTGACCCTCTTCGG